AGACGTCCAGAGAGCTGGGCTCTGCCCCCTCCATTATCTCACCCCCTTCCCCACCGCATCTGCTTCTTCCTCCTCCGGCTTTAGCTGTTCTTAAGGAGTGGTGGGAGCCTGAGGGGCGTCTCCAAGGCCTGCAGGACCTCCTCCAGGGCTGGAGGGTCTTGGATATGTTCATTGCAGTAATAAATGCACTGGCTCTGACAGAGATTTTGTTTAGTCGCTTTGTGCGTTTATGTCCTAGGTATTAAAGGAGGAGGCTCACATGATCTTTAAAAAAAACACAAAAATTTAAGGCCCAAATGCAGAAAATGAGGGGGAGCTCGTTGGGCACAGATGTTCTCTGCCTGGCGTGCTGGGGAAAGCAGGCCGGCCTCAGAAGCCTGGAGGAGCACTCGGGCCTGGGGACTGGACAGGGACGGCCCGTTCTCAGAGATGCTCGGATGTGGGGGGAATCCCCTGGGGATGGGTTCAGGGAAGAGAGGTGAGCATCGAGCATTCCTGCACTCTTCAGCCCGCTGGTCTCTACTGTGGCCTACGCTCCGAGGAGCCAAAGGGAGGAACAGGCTAGAGTTGCTTTATTGACTTTTTGGCAATCTCTTTATAATGCCTTATGGGTAGGGTGATCCAATAGCTTATCGTTTTCACAGTGAAAAGTATGCTGTTAATACTTACACCCAGATACCAGGCAGAAACCGGAACTGTGCCGGGCAGAGTGGGGAGTGTGATCATGGTAATCCGAGGAAGAAACATCTTCCTCAGACTTATGCACCTTTGAAAGAGCCGGTCTCAGTGCATCATATGGACGTGGTGACTCTGCGACTGATTGGTTCCTTCTTTGCTTTGGCTTCCAGGAAGCTCAGAGACATAGTTGTGGTCTGCCTTTTGAAATTGTGCTGGAGTTACCGAATGTACTGCTGCATACTTTCACCAGCTTTCTTTTATTCTTCAACCCTCGTTTCTTTTTCTTCGTCCTAACATCTTATTTTGAAAATCTTATTGTATATATTTCATAAGCAGTTGAGATGGATGATATTTGATGGAATTGATGGGTCGATGAATAGATGCTTGGACGGATGAGTGAATATTTGGATGGACAGACAGATGAGTGGGTAAGCGTTTGGATGTGTATGTGTGTGTGTTCGGATAGATGGCTGGGTGTTTCTATCAATGAATAGACGGATTGGTGCTTAGCTATGTGGAGGGATGGATGAGTGAATGGAGGTTTGGATGGATAAATATTTAAAGAGTTTATTTATTTGACCTAGCTGGTGTGGCTCAGTGGATTACATGCCAGCCTGCAAACCAAAGGGTTGCCAGTTTGATTCCCAGTCAGGGCACATGCCTGGGATGTTGGCCAAGTCTTGGGGAGGGGGGCACACGAGAGGCACCCACACATTGATGTTTCTCTCCCACTTTCTTCCCCCCTTACCCTCTAAAACTAAATAAATAAACTTTAAAAAAAAAGAGTTTATTTATTTAGTTTTAGAGAGAAGGTAAGAGAGGGGAAGATACATTGATATGAGAGAGAAACCCGACCAGGAACCAAACGTACAACCCAGGCATGTGCCTCGACCAGGAATTGAACTGGGAACCTTTCCTTTCATGGAACGACACCCAACCCACTGAGCCACACCTGTCAGGGCGGGATGAGTGTTTAGATGTCTACGTGAAGAGAAGGATGGGTGTCTGGCTGAATGTTTGGGTGGTGGATGCAGGTTTAGCTGTATGGGGGCATGTTTGGGGGCATAAATGAATGGACGAACAACCGATGATTGGATGAGTGGAAGGACGGCCAGCTGACTGGATTTCTAGATGGACAGATTTTGCATGAACAGACACATGGAAGGACGGCTGGGTGGGTATTTGAACAGATAGCTAGTACAGTGACCAGATGGGTGGAAAGTAGGTGGGCGGACAGGTGTTTGGATGAATGCATGCGTGGCTGGATGGCTACTTGGATAGATGGACAGGTGCACACGTGTGCGCACGTGTGTGGAGCACATGTAAGGATGAAGGGGTGAATGGGTGTTCGGGTAACTGGATGCTTTTCTGGTACACAGCGTAAGTGTGCCAAGAGTGAAATTGTGTGTATAAAGTACCTTGCTGCCCCGGCTGTGTGGCTTGATTGGATGAGTGTCATCCCGTGCACCAGAAGGTTGTGGGTTCGATCCCCGGTTAGGCTGCATGTGAGAGGCAACCAGTCAATGTTTCTCTCTCACACTGATGTTCCTCTCTCTTTCTAAAATCAATGAACATCCTCAGGTGAGTATTAAAAAAAATTAAAGTACCGTGCCAATGCCTGGCATGTCACGGGCACTCTAACTTATTAGAAAGGACGTGGGTTTTGTAGACCTAAGGACCTTTGTTCCGATCCTTGCCCTACCACTTACTGCATGACCTTAAGCAATTACCTAACCTCTCTGCATTTTGGTTTACTCAACCGTAAAACAGAGTTAAGATACCTACTCCAGGGGGTTGTCAAATGGGCTGGTGTATATTTCAGCAGATACCTGCATACTTCTTTCTGAGGTATGGGGGGGAGATCATTCTTTTAACTAATTATAAGATAAAAGTCCCTTCCCTTGGTCTTGCTTATCCAACCTATGCCATGGGCCCACCCTGGGACCACCAGCAGTTGCGAATGCCATGCACTGTTTGGTTGAGACTGATCAGACTACACTTTCCAAAGTGTAGTCTGGTCTGGGACCAGACCACCTTCTCCAGAGAGTCACCCTTTCGGATGAAGGGAAGAGGGGAACGTTTTGGGGGTTGCTGGTTCAGATCAGATGAGATGACACCACGCTGACAGGCAGTGGAAACGGGTGGCCAGTGGGCAGCCTGGAACCACGGTGACAGTGTAGAAAAACCATGCTTTGGGAGTTGGTTAGATGTCAGTGGAGAGTGGAAAAATAATAATATTCACTGGATGGGGCACCCCAAAGAAGGGCAGGTTGATGAGTGGAAGTCGGGCCACGCTGCCTTTGGTGTGTCTGTGGAAGATCCATGGGGAAAACTGGTTGGTTGGTGTACTGGGGGCTCTGGTGAAAGGTCAGGGCTGCAGAGATTGGGAGGTAATCAATATCCTAGTCTTTGTAAACCCATGCACCTTTTCAAACATAAAATCTTGTATCCTCCTCCTTCAGTGTTATTTAAAATGTCATTAAATATATGATTAAAACCAATTCAAATGACTTGCAGAATTGAGTCAGCTTCCCAGCTGAAGCTGATGCCACCACAGGCAGGTTAGGAGGCAGTCTCTGTCTTGTACACCTTTGGAGATCCAGGCTGGTTTGTCCTTCTCTCCTGTGGCTGGGCGGGCAGGCACCTGGAGCAGGCTGTACAGCTCAGGAGCTGCTATGCTGCAGTTTTCAATGAAGTATCCCCTTTGCTGGTAGTGTTCCTCGCTTGGTCACCTCCAGAGTCAGGGAGCTCACTACCTACTGAGACAGCCTCTGCCGTCCAGACGGGCATGCGTGCCTGAGAACGTGAATGTCCCCCATGGCTTCCTCCGCACCCCCACCCCACTCTGCGGAGCTCTGCTGTCCAGACGAATATGGAGATAAGGGAGCTGGGTGGCTCCCGGGGCCAGCTCCTTCATTGGTCGCGGGAGTGGCCAGGCTTGCCTTTAGTCGCTGGTCTTCCTCAGGCGGTCCCCACCCCAGCCTTCCCAGCAGGCACCCATCTCAAAAACCCTCTTCAACTGAGTAGTGGACAGCTCATCCTCCTGCCCCGCATTATAACACATTCGGAGGCACTTCCGGTTCGCTTTAGCAGAAGCACTTCCGGTTCGCTTAGCGGAGGCGCTTTCCGTTCCACTGGGTAGCATTTCCGGTTCCGCTGTGGAGCACTTCCGCCCCCCTTTCCCCGCTCCTCCGTGTGGCGTGTGGAGGCGTGGGTAGGGTGTAGGTGGAGACCCACGAGCCCACGAAGTATTCCCTGGGCAGAGCCGAAGGGCGGGCGCCCCCAGCGGTGCTGACGGGTCTCGGTTCTCCGTGCCTCGGAGGGACCTCCTCACAGCTCCCAGACATGGCGGCCGGGCTTAGGTCCCCTCGGGCTGCGGGGCCGGGCTGCGCTGGTTCGAGCCCCACTTGTTCTACATCCTAATTGTGGGACCTGTGGCAAGAGCTCCGCCTCCCGGCGCCTCCGTTTCTTAAGTGCCCTAATGAGACTAGAATAATGATGGTGGCGCCTAGGTGTCTGAGTTACCGGGGGATTCCTCTAAAAGATGATGACGTGTGGTGTCGTCACGGGTCGTGGGTCCAGAAGCAGCTCCGCTCGTGAAGTGTCAACTAGGCGCGTTCCCGTTATCCTCCCAGTCCCCTAAGTCTCTCTGGAACACCAGAACAGATAGCCCTTTGACCCCTGATGGGAAACGTCGAAAAAAGACTAAAAACAGCAGAACGGGTGACCTTTACGAAGGCTGTTGGCCGTTGTTTATGAGACAGAAGCCTTTGTTACAGCCAGGACGCGGGAGCAGCAGAAATTCAGGCTTCAGCTGCTGATGCGGAAGGAAACTCCGTGAGGGGGGTGCAGGCGCTCACATTCCAGAGTGAGTGAGGCTTGGTGGTGGTGTGCAGAGTGCGCCTCAGTGGCTGCCCCCACTTCACGCGGCGCGAGCCCTCCCGGTCTGGGAGGCCTTCCGGCAGGCGGGAGAGGTCCCGCCTGAGGGCCTTTCACCCGGGGTCCCCTCGCACCGTGGTCGTCAAGAGGCTCTCCCCGGAGGCACAGCCGGGCCCGACTCCCGTCCGCTCTGCCGAGGTGGGAGCCGGAAGCACCCGCACGCGTCTGGCACACGGCCCAGCTCTGCAAGGGGGCGGCCAGTCTGGGCACCGAGCCCGGGGTCTGCATCTTCGTCCTCTTCGCGTCCCCAGCCCCCAGCAGGCCGTCCAACCCCCCTGTTGCCTCCTCCTGTAACCCACGCCTGCCCAGGGGGCCTCAGCAGTGCAGGGAGAGGGGGTCCCGGGCTCTTTCCCTGACGCCTCTCATGCCCCCCGGTCTTGCAGACATCGACGAGTGCGAGAACGACTACTACAACGGGGGCTGTGTCCACGAGTGCATCAACATCCCGGGGAACTACCGCTGCACCTGCTTCGACGGCTTCATGCTGGCCCACGACGGGCACAACTGCCTGGGTGAGTGCCGCCGCCGCCGCGCCCCGCCCCGCCTTCGAGGCCCGCCCTGCCGCTTCTCTGCTCCAGCTCGCAGTGTCGGGGCCGTGGGGAGGGGCGTGCTCTCCTCTGGTCGGTCCTTTGTCTCAGTTCGTTGGGGCTGCCAAACTAAAACAGCACAGACCGGGTGGGGGTGGGGGCGGGGGCGGGGGCCTTGAAAACAGGAATTTATTTTCTCCCAGTTCTGGAGGCTAGAGGTCTAAGGTCAAGGTGTTCACCGCTTTGCTTTTTTTTCTGAGGCCTCTCAACTTGACTCACGGATGGCCGCCTTCTTACTAGGTGTTCACACGGTCATTTCTCTGTGTGTCCGTGTATTCGGTGTCTTTGTGTGTGTCGCCGCCGCCTCTGACGAGGCCCAGTCATACTGAAGCAGGGCCCATCCCAGCCGAGTTTGAACAGAGTTGCCTCTGAAAAGGCCCTGTCTCAAAGACAGCTGCATGCTGAGGTCCTGGGGACCAGGGCTTCAACGAGAGTTCGGGGGAGCACGTTTCAGCCCACAGTAAGGATTCTTATCTATCCCCAGAGTCTCAGGGTTCAGTCATATACTTAAGCCAGTTGTATGACATTTACAAGAGTAATGCAGGCTTGCTGGGTAGAATTTGAAACTGTAGAGCAGGGACAAAACACCGGGAAGTGCTTTGGTTACGCTGGTGTGCTTCCTCTCGCGCCTCCCCCCGCACCCAGGTGTGATGCCGCCGTAGCGGTGATCGGGTGGTCGGCACGGCTTTGCCCCTTGATTTTCCCTTTCTCATCGTGTAAACCTCGGGCGTGCTTACCTGGCCCACACTGGTGCCGTTCTTCTAGTCGCCTCGTGGTCTGATAAGCAACTGCATTCAAATAGCCTGAGGCTGCCGTACCACACTAAGAAACCGAGAGGCTCAAACAGCAGAAATTCACTCTCTCCCAGCCCGGAGGCCGGAAGGCTGACGTCAAGCCATCGGCAGGGTTGGCCGGCGAGGAGCACCGGGAGGGACAGTCCGTCCGAGGCCACTCCCGGCTCCTCGTGGCCGTGGTATGCCTCGCTCGTTGGTCGTGTCGTCCCGGTCTCCACGTTGTCTCAGCTCTGGGCCTTCTCTCTCCGTGTCCAGAGGTCCCCGCTTTACAAGGACACCGCCCTATTGGATTAAACCTTAGCCTGATGACTGTGTGTGGACCGTTTGCAAACACCCCATCTCCGGAGAAGGCTGCACTCGCAGACACTGGTGGTCAGGCCACCACCTCCTGGGGAGGCACGACCCAGCCCACCGCAGAGGCGGTTCGAAGTCCGTAGCAGCAGGACCGTCTCGGGGCAGAAGGCCCGCGGTCTCGAGGCGGAAGTGCCTGCCCCGGGAGCACTCGTCGTCTCCCGCTGGCCGTGGGGGCCCAGGGGTGCGACGTGGACTTGGCGGGGTGTGGCTGCGGACACGTCGGTCAGGTCTCTGGGCCTCAGCCACTCCCCTGCCGGTAACGAGAGGGTGACCCGCAGCTTCGTGAGCAGTGACTGAGGTCATGTCCGGGCAGCTGGGAAGCGAGGGGGTCACAGGGCTGTCAGCACTAGTGGCTGTGGCTGTCGTCACGACCTCCGAGCCTCAGGCCTCCCTGCCGTAGAGCCTAGTGGGAGGGTGCAGTGCAGGGACCGGCACTTAGGTGCAACTAGTCAACAAACAGGCGTTGGTGTTCCTCTGGGTGACTCGGCCACACTTTGGTGGTTGGGCATTTAGATCATTTTCTTATTTTGTTTGTTCCTTTTTATCATCAGAATCTAGAAGTGATTCTGGTCATAAACCTTATTTCTCTCGTTTTTCCTATCGTTGCCTTAGCAATCCTTCCCAGAAGTAGAACTGCTGGGTCCGAGGGTCGTTTGGATTCTTTGTGGTTCTCGCCGTAGGGCTCTCTGCAAGTGCGCGGTGCCCCTTCCTCCGTGCCAGCTGGCGTGCTGGTGGGGGCACAGGGAGTGCGCTGTCCCGTGTGCTCCGAACTCTGCCTCTCCGTGCCGTGTGAGCCTTAGATTCCCCGCCTGTTTTCGTTTAGTCCTGCTGGGTCTCAGGCGGGCTGGCTGTGGGAAGCGGGTCTGCGAACATGTGATCGTGCTCACAGGGAGCGCTGAAACGGGGTCTGGCGGCAGGCTGCTGGAGCCGGAGGGGCTGTGCAGAGCTGCCCCCGCGAGGGGCAGCCGTGGGGGTGGGCATAAGGCTGAGTCCTTCAAGGGGGTCTCTAAGGAGAAGGTAGCCGTGAGCAGGATCTTCAGGAGCTGGGGAGCAGCCAGCGGGGTGAAGGCACAGCCTGTATAGAGCGCCTGTCTAGGGGCTCCCGGAGGCCGGGCTCAGGGCAGGTGGCCGGGGCGGCGGGAGGAGGGGCTTCAGAAGGAGGCAGAACCTTCGACTGGACTGTAAAGAGTGGGCTGTACAACAGGTACCGTGCCGATTACCATCCACATGTATCCACTGAGTCCTCCCAGAAGGACAGGCCTTAGCTTTACCAGGGCGCCCCCCTCTCACTGCGAGAGAGAGTGCGTTTCAGTAACCGAGGGTCCGTGGAGGCAGAGCTGAGTGACCCTGTGGGACCTCCACTGCTCAAGGAGGAGTATGATCACCTGTCGGTCTTGGGAACTGCCAACTCTTGGCTCCGGTCCAGGCCCCGCCAGTCATCAGCTGGGTGACCCTTAGCCAGTTGGTTTCCCTCTGTGCCTCAATTTCCTCACCTGTGAAGTGGCATTCGTAGTCCCGGTCTGTAAGCGTTCTTGTGAGGACCGAAGGCGATCCTGGACGGGGGTCACCCAGCAGGGAGCAGTGAGCACTCGGAATGAAATGGGCGTCAGTCGGGGTGCCGACGTTCAGAGATGAACTGAGGGCGGCTGTCCGATGATGCCTCTGAGACGTGGGGTGGCCCGCACCATCACCCACGCCCCTGGGCCACGCCCGACCGCGGCCTGGACCCCAGCCGCGGCGCTCCCACCCGTGCTAGGCTCCTGTCGGCGAGCCCGTGGCTCTCGGCTCTGGCAGGCACGCCCCACGCCTCCGGACTGCAGGGGGTTCCGTGCGGGGCTTCATTTCAAGGACATCGTTTTCATACTGGACTGCTTTCAGACCGGTTAGTTTGAAGAACTGGGTAACGCTCCCCCACCCCCCCACCCCCCTCTGAGCACAGATTGCAGCTGCACGCGCTCCGACTCCCGCGCACGGCGGCCGAGAGCGGGCCGTCTCTGTCGCCCCTCTGCTTTCAGCTGAGGGCAGACCCTTCCCAGCGGACTCTCTGGGCTTCTTCCTCCTGGAGACGAAACGCCGGCTTTAGAGAAGTCATGTCTTGGCTCCGAGCCACCTGCACCGCACTGGCCACGTGGCCCCTCGGCGTCTCTGCTCCCTTGCCCGTCAGATGCTGTAGGAGTGGAAGAGCTGGGGCGGCGCCGGGACCACGGAAGCCCAGCCAGTGGCGGCCGGAACCAGTGGCGCTGTAGGAGGATGCTGGGCCTGCAGTGGGAGGATGCGACCCCCAGTCCGCCACTGCCCTGAAGTGGGAGGGCGAGGCCCGTCTCCCGGGGCCACTGCGGCAGGCACACGGGGAAGCGGACGCGGAGCGCAGTGCGTGCACACGGCACGCTCTTCACAGGTGCCGGGCGCTGTCGTCCTCCTGATGCCGTGGCTTCGAGCCTCAGCCCAGTCCTCGGCCAGCCTGCCCGTTAGGTTTATCCCCTCAGTGTTTGCTGTCATCGTCATCATCGCCACCATGGAATGATTTGTCGACAGTTCACAAATCAAGGCCGTCCTGTAAAAACTGGTATTTCCAGCATTGTTCCTGCCTGGCCACCATCACTCAGCTCCTGATGCGTGTGGGGCGCAGGAGTGCAGTGGAGGCCGCATCCCACGGGGCCGAGTGTGAGAACGGGCCCACGAGGCTTCGGGAGTTGGGTGTGGCCATCTCGTCCACCTGGACAAGCAGTTCCCCCTCAGGACCCGGGAGGCTGCGCCCGCCCCCTGTTCTCGCCCCGGCTCCCTCCTGCCATCTGAATGCTCAGGTTCCGGCTCTCTGTCCCCAGATCCCCTTCCCTTTTGCTGCTGTTTGGCACTAAGTGCCCTCTGTCCCTCCGAGAACAGACAGACATGGGGCCATTGCGACAGGGATTTTTAGGGTCTCGGGTCCTCAGAACGTGGTCTGGACGGATGGCTTTGGGCCCTCAGTGCACGTGACTGACCCTCTGTGGACTTCAGACTCCACAGGGAGGGCTGCAGCCAAAGGAGGGGCAGAGGAGGGGCCCCCACAGCATGGGGCCCACGGCAGGGGCACCTCTCGGTCTCAGTGTGGTGCTGGGGGCTACCAGCAGCAGGCCGTGCTCCCTTGGGGTGCAGGTCGGCTCTCCTGTCTGCTGCAATCCCCACCGCCCCCTCTTGCTCACAGCCAGTGAGTTTTGCCTGTTTAACTGCCTGCTTGGTCGCAGTAGGAATTGTGGTCCTGCTGCCTGGGGAAGCTGCCAGCAGAAAGTCTGCCCCGATGGGCGCTGGGGGCTGCGAGAGGCCGGATGAGTTGTGGGAAGGCTCTCACTGCCTTCCGCGGTCCTGACCATCTCTGGGCTGCTCTGCGTCTCCCGTCGCTCTGTCCGCAGAAGTCTGGGCCGGGAGTCTGGTCCGGTGTACCATTCCTCCCCCACCACCGCTGAAGCCCCGGGGGACAATGGCTGGGATAAGCCCTCATCGGAGGAGTTTGGAGAGCATTCTGAGTCAATTAGGGGAAATGAGGCTGATGGCTTAAGGGTTATTTTCTTGCCAGAGTTTTCACAGTTGAACTTTTTCTTTTCTTTTGAGCAAAAGTGGTTGTTTTCTTGCGGAGATGGCTTGCCTGGGACTGTGTCCTGGAGGGTGGCCAAGTCTGTCCTCCGGGGAACAAAACCTTCTCTCTATTTGACATCTTTATTGAGGAATTTCTCAAATATAACAGAAAATGACACCAGAGGGAATTCAAACCATGATGAGATCCTTGCTCAACCCCAAATG